TGTTTCTTGAATTTCAGCTCCCTTTAAAGTCAAAAGCAGCATTGAATGTCCATTTCCAGCACTCCTGTATCAAGGGAGGGTTCTGTTCCTGTTGCTTTTTCACCAGACATGTCCCCAGCAAGAGTGCCCAGAGCTACCAGAGAACCCTGTAAAGCAGCTGAGGTTAATTGCCAACATATAGGCATAATTCAGGTCATCTCATTCTAAAAAAGAGCCCAGAATAAACTGCATCAACTGCTACCTCTTCCTGTCCTGGACCCCACAGCAAAGTGCCACTGGAAGAGAGTCTGTGGTGCTCCAGAGCTCCCTCCCACCAGCTTCTCAGCTGCCTGAGCCCCCTGTAATAGATTAAAATAAATAATGATGATAGGGAATTAATAGCTAACTAATTAAGCTTTAGAAAGACCAGCAAAATCATCCCAGAGCTAAGAAGCTTTCCACAGCTTAGGTTTGAAGAAAAGTTGACACATGAGCAATGTTTATGTTCTAATCCTCCTGTATCCCATGCTCAGTCCCCATGAGAGGAACATACCTCTGCATCTCTCTTCTCTTCTGGATTTTATAGCTCTCCTCATTAACCTTGTGTTTTTCCTTGGGTGAGTCCAGTTCTGTTACCATTCAGCCTCAAGGCTGGGACCCTGGAAAATATCTTCTGAATTTTCAACAAGTATTTGTCTCCCTCATCACAGCTCTTATTCCTCTCTTCCCTTAGGAAACATAACTCATTAAAGATCAAGAAGAGCTTAACTCAAATATAGGTTTTATTTATAGAATTTCCCCTTCCCATCTCCTCTTCACTTTGCCCACTGTATTTTATTTTCACCAGCTGCACTGTCCTTTCAAAAACAACTTTCCAGCTCCGTAGCTGTAGCTCCTTTAACATCCATCAGTGTTAAAGGAGTTATCCTGCATTCACAGCAAGGGTAAAGATCCCAGATTTATGCTTCTTCATCATTTAACCAGTAAAAGCTACAATTTACTTAAGGTTCTGCAATCTTTCAAGCATTCCTTAATAAGGAGTACTTATCCTTGTCACAAAAAGGTAACCTTAGGATTATACAAGAATAAAACTTTCTTTTGTCTTTTCTTCCAGGTGTCCATATGTCTGCAACGGGGAATCTGGCCAGCTCACAGAAACTTCCTCTCCTCCAAGAACTGCATACTGAGGCAAATTCCCAGCTTATTAAAAAATAGTTGTGTTATTTTGCCATCTTGTTTGTTCTGCAATTCCTCTGTATACTTCCTCTCTCTCTCTCTGTCTCTCTTATTTTTTTTAATTATGCCTCTGGCTTTTGGAGGGAAAAAAAAAAAAGGAAATGGAAAAGAAAAAAAGCCAAGAAATTTTAAAATATATCTTTATTTTGGGCTGTGTGTTACTTCTAAACTTCTGCAGGAATTGATAGGAACATCCCAATATTCAGATGTTATTTGTCCAGTGAGGAGCTGTTTGCATGAGGAAGTACACAGAAGCTTCCAAAAAAGCCCTGAAGATCTTAAAGTATGTTATAAAGCTTCTCTTCAGCTTCTGACAGAGTGCCTTAATTTCAGTGCTACTGAAGTCTTTTCCAAAGTAAATGAAAGCAAAACTGGAATGGCTAAAACTTGAGTAAGACTGTCCCGGAGTTTAATGTGGTCCAAACACTCAATTTCAAAGTTTAGCTTAGTTGTTTTAGTTTTCCTGAATGATTCCTAAGACAACTTTTCAGTTCAGTGGTGGATTTTCTTTGGTTGTTTGGTTTCTTTTTTTACCCCATCTTATAACTTCTTAGATTTTGAAGGTAAAATCCAGTTATGTTGAGATCTGGGAAACTGCTCCGTCAAAATAAAGGAAAATGTCAAAATAAAGGAAAATATTTTGGTCTGTGGCTTCTCTCATGGAGACACAAAACTGACCATAACAACATCTTTTTAGTTATACTTCATCCTTCATTATTTTTGAAGGAAAGGGTTGACAGAATTCTGTATATCATTTCTTCTTTAAATGCTACAAAAGTAGCCTAGAATTTTTTTCTTAATATACACTTGTGACAAAATTGAAAAGACACACAAAAAAATATTAAAAAAAATTTGAAAAGACAGTGCCATGTTTGTTGGTGAATCACCCAAATGGCACCCAGACTCTAACACAACATTGTTGCGTAGCTATTTGCAACTTCACTTAATTGAATTTTGCAATGCAGTTTCACAACGCCACTTTATAAGGCTTCCTTTGTAAGAATCCAGTTCCTTAGCACCTAAAAACCCCAGCCAGGCTTTGGAGAGGAGGAGAGGGGTGTTTCAGCTCTTTCTGCTCCTGGCTTTTCACCATCTCTCCCTGCTCCGTGCCGCTGGCGCATCGATCGCGCATCCCGGGGCGCGGATGGAGGGAAGGATTGCACCTCCCAGTCCTGACGCATTTTTATCCTTTGACATCACAGAGGATGAACCGACAGCGCCGTTCAGACACCCACAGCCCCTGGTGCCTCCTCAGTGCTCAGTGCTCATGGTTTTAACGCGGCCTCTGTGCTTCTCCTGCCCTGCCACGGCAGAGCCGCAAAGTCTCCGGCTCTCCTGCACAAATCGCGCTGTTTTGGTAAACTTTTCAACCCTCCTGCCAGGCTGGGATGCTGGGAGCTGGGAAGAGCTCGTTATGCCTTGATGGCCTGAGTGGGTCCAGCGTAGGGCTGGGAGTACAAGTGTTTATGGAAGGATGAAAAGAAAAAAAAAAAAAAAAAAGGGTTTTATGGAGGAAGGTATGATGTCACCCGGACCACAGCCTATTTCTGGAACTAAGCTGTGAAACCCATGATACATTTTGACACATAAATGTTGCCAAGGAAAACTGATAATATAATTGTTAATACGGTCACAGCCAACTGTTTTTCAGATAAGGAGTTAAACTCTTCTATGCAAGACAGTATTTGTGGAACGTAGCACCTAGTCATTCCATGCTTTCATTGGCTCTGGGATTACTTATATCATATTTAAATAAAAGGACTAGATTATTGGGTACCATAAGAACAATGCATTGCTTATGGTCTTGCAGCATTTATCTTAAGTCAATATAAAAGTTTTGAGTTCTAAAGCCTATGTCAAGGGCAGTGGAACAAGGGCCACATTCAGTGAACCAGTGATTTGTTTATTTCTTAATGCACATTTAAGTATCTTATTTTGGGGACTCAGATATACTTAAATGATTCAGTTAAATACAGCGTAATTTAAAAAAATTGTGTCTGTCTGAGGAACCAAATCTGATAGAAAATATTTAAAGTTATTATGTGCAATTTGTTCTAGATAAGGCTAATGATCAAACAACTTCCTCATCTCTGCCACAGCACAATTTCCCCTGAGATAGAGGTCCATTTTTGCATCCCTCATATGAGCTTTGTTCCTGGGAGTTTGACAGGGCTCCACAATGTAATTATAGAGTGATTAGGAGTAAGTAATACCAGAAAAGAAGAGTTACTTTTTAAGTGCAGATATGGAAGGGAAGGGATAGGTTGAGATATGAAACAGAGAGAGACACTGTAGCCCAGAGACGTGAAAACTGCTCAGAGGGGCTCAGGACATAGAGGCAAAGAGTGACAGCCAGGACTCAAGGTGTGCAGGGAACAAGTGGAGAACTGAAGGATGAAGTCTGGGCATGAGATGAGTCTGCCACCTGCAAAAATGCAGGCAGGCCAGAGTTTAAAATATGTTTAGGTGACCACTTAGGAGTTTCAGAGAACCAGAAGTCTCCCTGAGCCATAGACTCTTATGTTCTCCTGAAAAGCTTGTAATGTCCTTTGTTTCCATATTTACAGGCAGACACTTTTAAGTATAAGATTATAAAATGATGTCATTATTTAAATCAATACTTTCTATTCCTTAAATTCTGAAATTTCTGATTGCAATGAAATAAAATTATTTTTTTATCCTGGTTTGTAGTAGATCTCTGCAGTTCATTTGCAGCTATGGCAAATTTACTCTCTTATAGAAAGAAAAATAGGTCTCTGGTTGAGTGTTTCTTTCAAACACAGAATGATGTCTCTTTACTGCTGATCCTCCCCGCTCCCAGTGTGAGAATGGAGTGAGTGAATTTCGCCATGAACCTGCTGTGCTCCTGACTTTGATGGTGTCTGAAGGTCCGTGAACAATTCAGTTGGGAGTGATTTGTGCTGGTGTTATTTCCATTTCCCCAAAATCAGCTTTCCTGCCATGAAGTGATGCTGTGCTGTCCCTGGAGTGGGGTGCAGGGTCATTGTAAACTGGGTCTCCATGTCCAGACCCCATCTGGTGGTGCCTGTGCAGAGCTGCCTTGGCTGTGGTGTTTTCCCAGCTGTTTCTTGGCTTCGAGCAGCAGCTCTCTGTGTTCAAGTGTCTGTAACACACGATCTCCCCACGGTGGGAAGTGTGATGGTGTGATCGGTGAGCTCCATCAGATGCTGCTGAATGTAGTTAAGGAAAATAACATCCGAGAAAGGATCACTTCTACCTCCTTGAGCCCAGTTCTTTCTGCTAGAAAGTCTCTTCCCAGGTGTCTGTTCATATTGCCCAGCAATGCCTGCAGGGCAGCTTGTCTTTGACTTCCCTTGCTTAATAGATCATATCACACCATTTTACTAAGCTAGCAGAAAAGTTTGGAGCCTGCTCTCCTCTGATTCCCTGCCTTGAGCCAGAGTTTCAAGTTGTTTTTCCAATGTGCACTGATTTATCTTTTCCTTCCTCAAGTAGCAATTTCCCAAATGGGTCAGGGCTGAGTGACAGCGTGGAACTAGGTGGCCAGAAGAAATTTCTATATATTATTCCTCCTTTTTGAAGACAGGGCATGAATTCCAGAGGACTGAGGACTGCTGCCAGCTCAGCATCAGCTCAGTCCCGACCTTCACTGCGTGTTGTTCGCCCAAGAGCAGCAGAGTGCAGCCTTGCCTGCTGGAGCTTGGATTTCTGTGTAATTGCTTCCCATGTTACTGAATTTACAAGGTCGAATTACACACCCTGGCTTCAGCAGGGACCTTTCCATTGGCACAGTGCCAATCTGATGGCCATTTGTCTCCCTTTCAATAAGACACAGGGGACCAAATCACCTACCCATGTTCTTGGGCCTCCTGTCTCCTCTAGTTGGACACCTCCTAGTCTCAGAGATTAATTGAGGTCTTCAAGTGTTGAGCCTATAGGAAATAGAAAGACTTGGGCAGAAGTTTGTCCAGATGAAGGCAGAACTTACTAGAGGGATCAGGGCATGGTCATTTGGAAAGATTTAGTTATATATTCAGTGAGGAGGTTTAACTGGGGACAACACAGATAATCCTGCAATGTAGAGATGGAAAATTTGCATTTATACCCTGAACATCAACTGTTCCTGCCAGTTGTGGGAATTGTAACACTTGTGGGAAACAGGTGCTTGCTCGGTCCAGTGTTCACAGAACTCTCTTCCCCACAAACCCCTCAGTTTGCAGAGAAAAAGCTGTTTGTACATAAAGAACTGTTACGCATGTTTCAGATTCTTAATGTCTATGAAGTTTCAATTACCCACTAAAGGAGGAAAAAGGAAAAAAAAGAGTACCATGAGTATCATGTGACCAATTCATTTAAGAAATTATATGGCCCCTCAACACTTGGGGATCTGTGTGTAGCTGGCCCTGCTATGCTTGTTTTCCTCTCGTTACTGACCTCTTTGTACAGATGGGGACTGAGAAGTGAAAAGATGAAACACCGTGTGACAGCCAAGCAGGGAAACTGTGGCTGAGTCATGGAGAAACTCACATTTCCCAAGGATTAAGCACTGAAAGCCATCTGTAGGTGACAGAGGAACCAGGCAGGGAAAACCCCAGCCGTCTGCAGAAGGTCAGAGATAAGGGAAACATCTTAAGGACTAGTGTAAAGGTAGAGTGAACCGGTCTCACTGTGTGATTAAATGATTCCCATCAGCCACGGTGTCACAAACAGAAAACATGTGGGCATTGCTGCCATTCCTCAGCCCTTAGGAGAGGAGAGCAGCCTGCTCTCCTCCGTACTTCTTGAGAGTCCCACCTCTCTCTGAGGCACTTGCAGAGCTCACAAAATCAGCAGGAATTCAGGTTGGTCACATTTGCCTTGTGAATTACAACACATAATGGATGCTAGAGAAAAAAATTGGAAGGGAAAAATATAGTAAAGCAATCCCAAATATTAGTCTGACATCTCCCCTTTCTCCCTCTCTCTTGAGATAGCACATGGTCAGCAGGGCAGACAGCACCATGGACTCAGCCTCCACCTCCACAAGGAGAGTGGGAGCTGCTGTCAGCAGCAGCTGCTTCCAGGGTGGGATTTCTCTTGGATGGAGACAGTGTCTGCCTTGGCAGTGTCTGATCTGTGGGACATGGCTCTCCACCACCCCCTCATCTCCATCCTGCACCTGTGCCAAGAGCCAATTCCATCACTTATGTGTCCACAAACTAAAAACCAGGTGAGGGCCACAAGCAAGGAGGAAACAGAAGTGTGGGTGGGGCTGGAGGAAGATGGACAGCACTGGACACCAGAATAGTGGTGCTGAACTCATTAGCAATAATAAACTAATTATCTTTACCCAAACCACCATTAGTAAAGTGGTTACCACCAGGCAGTCCCAAAAGGAGTGATTTCTTTGGGACAACACAGTCAGGCCATGTGTTGGTGGGGGATGCTGCTGACCTGAGGCCTCTTCCCAGGTCTCACTCACAACCCACACAGAAATCTCTTCCTCCACATGTTGGGGCAGATTCCAGCACTTCATTTCAAAGGCAATGCCAGCTGAGAGCAGGTTTCTGTTCCATGGCAGTGTGGGGATCATGCTGCTTTCTTGTGGCTGTGGATGGTGACAGAGAAAATAATTCGATAAGTCTGCAGAATGTTTTTATTGTCATGTCAACAAAATATTTTCTGCCTCCACAGACTGTGGAAGTACTTAGCATGCAGCATCCATCCAGTTTTGGAAAACACTTGAAAACCACCAACAGAATCTCACTATTCCTTTTTTTAGCTCCATAATGAAAAAGCAAACAAGAAATACGCTGATTCCCAAAATGAACTAATTTTTTTTCTGAAGCAATTTAATTTTTTAGCTTTGATCTGATACCAGAACCCAAAGGACTTACTTGCTATTTCTAAATAATGAGTCTAATGTTTATGCTCTGAGCCTGAACTTTTCTGGTTTTGGAAAAAATGTGACTTTACATAAAAGTCCTTTGATTAAGAGATCTGCAGTCAGAGGAGTTTTCGATACAATAATGAAAAGGCCTTTCAGATCGCTCACTCAAACACTGCTCAGCACGATATTACTCAAGAAGGGAAGAAGCCGACAGAACAATCACACTATTAGTCTTTGCCTTGCCAAGTGTTGTGTTAGTCATATTCCTATGGTAAAATCTCCCAGAAGTGGCTAAGAGAAGTCTTACACTGCATGGAGTAATGCATGCCTGCAAATGCACCCTGACCTGGGTGGTCTGTCACCCTGCTCTCTCCTTTGATTGTTATTTAACCCTGTTTCATTGAGGCTTTAGGAGTTGATTGCTGTACAGAGGGAAAGTGTTTGGAGGAGAAACAGAGGCTATTTCCTCCTGCTATGGTCCGAATTCCCCTGCAGCAGGGATGGTACCTACAGCACACTGCACAGGCTTTTGTTCCCAGTAAGATCATGGCACAAAGCACAGCCCTTGCACAGTGAGATCCCATTCCCTGCCCCACCAGAGCACTCTGGCTGCAGTGCACCCACCTCTCCTGGGTGCCAGCAGCACCCAGTCCCTGGGCTCAGCCGAGCTCCTGCGAAGGTCACCCTGCTGTCCTGGTCCTGCTTCCCGAGACGTGGGATGGAAAGAGTGACTCTGGCACTTGCTAAGTAGGTTGAAGTTTGGAAGCCGAGTGCCTGTGTTATTTATGCAGAACTGACATGTCTCTTTGTCCTGAGCCATGTGGCCCAGATTCCAGCCCTTGTATCTACAAAACATTACTCATGTGCCCGCTCCTCCTGCAAGTCCTTGATTCCAACGGGATTACTCACATGTGCACGCACACCCAGGGCTCTGCACAGCAAAGGCAAATCCTGCTGCCTTCAGCTGATTTACACCACCACTCTGGAGATGAAAATCTGACACAGGAGCAGCTCAACAGGAAAAGGAAAATCAACCTGATACCTCCTCTGTATTCTGCTTCCACATTCCCCTCTCCACTGTCACTTGGGCAGCCTGCAGGAGGGACTGCTCCCCTCTACCATCAGGGCATTGCTGCATACTAGGGGTTAAAATGAGAAAGCACTTTGGTTTTGTAGATTTATTGCTTTCCTCCTGCTATATTTGTGAAGCTCATCATTCAGGTCAGCCATCCCCACCCCTGCAGCTGTCTGTACATTTTTTTTCTCTGGTTCTAGAGTTGTACTTTACTGAGGAAATTATAATTATTAAAACACACAAGGTCACGCTCTAGATGAACTTGGAAACAATTCAAATATGTTTCAGGTTTGAAACTATGTAGCAGCTATGGCCAAGTGGTGAGTTCATAACAAAAGAATGGTTAATTTCACACTTCAGATAACATTTCCCCCGGAAAGCGGTAAAGCATATTGGGACAGGAATTATTAAAGGTCGAGAACACTGGAGACACATAATCAGTCATTAGTCCTGATAATTAGATATTAAAGATAGGCTCAGGGTGGGGGTAGAGTGGTTCTGCCTGAATGAGCCAGTGTGTGTTCTTACTTCTAAATCATTCTTTTAAAAAAAGTTTTTCATCTTCAGAAAGGCACCATGACTTTGTGGACTTGACGTGGGACATCTTGAGAGCTTCCCCACAAGTGGCTCCTCTTCACCTGCTGCAGGTCACAATTCTGGTTGCATGCCAGCAGATAACATCATCAGGCCAGCACTAGAATTAAAATTTACAAACTGTATTCTGAATGAGCAGCAAAGAAAACATGCATGTGCCTCTCTCCCTGAGTTACCTCCCCCTGTGCCTTGGGATGGTAGGAGGAAAGCAATGGCAGATGTTTGTGGCCTCCCCAGCAATCTGCATCAAAGCTAATCACTGTTCATCCCTTGCAAACTGAAAAAGAGATTTCCATACAACAGGTTTTGAAAGACCAAACCTCCTCTGTGCAGACAGCAGCCTGGAACAGCTCTCTGCTAGCCTGTGTGAGATTTGTGGCTAAACCAGGTTGATCTTGGTTGGTTTTCTTCCAAAACCGAGGCTGTGCCATGCAGACCTCCCCTACTCCATTAACCTGCATTTCAGTGTTGAGGCTTATCAGCAGTGCTTCGAAAGAATCACTTAAAATCATGTTTCTGCTATACACAAAAAGAACATCCCAAACCCCCTGAACTATCTCTCTCTTCCTGAACACTGGCATCCAAAAATCAGTGCTGGATGTTCCAAATCCTCCCTCAGCAGCTTTCCCCTGAAACAGCCACAGCCCAGCCCAGGTTGCCCACGCATCCTCAGCTGTGCCTCCAGGTCTCCAGTATCACCCTGCACCAGGGGAAAACACTCAGTACAATCGACTTGTGCAGCTGGAGTTGTGAAAATCTACTCAAGAAGAAAATCAGGAGATGACTGACTTTATGAGCACATCTCAGAGGCACGTGCTGCTGCCACCCACATGTCCCTCTGCCTTGGCTGGGGGGTGACATTGGATTCTAGTCTCTGGCTTTGGGGAAATCAGTGACACCCCAGCTGCTGGAGTGGAGGGGAAAGGTGATGCTTTATCTGGGCTAGTGCCCTAGCTAAGGGTCTTTTATTTTCTCAGCTGTGCACAGCTATGGACATGCCCACAGTCTGTCTTGGAATTGTGTCCCCATGTTGGCTGTTCAGCTGCATGGCAATGAGGTCAAGAGGCTGAGCTTTACCTCTGAATTTTTCGTATTTTCCAAGTATCATATTTTATTTATAATTTAGAAAGAACTTGCTCATGTCTTTGTGGGGAAAGAAAAAAAAAAGGAATGGCAGTGAGCATTCAACACTAGTTTCATTTTTCATCACCATTATCAAGGCTTGGATTTTAACTTTGGAATGTCCTTATCTCAAATGAAATCAAATAAGCACTTTGTGGCAGGGGGTCCTACACTCCCTCCTGACTTCAGGGAGCTTGTGCAATGTGCAGCATTTCCCTCCCTGCTGCATGCTTGGATCAGCTCCCCAGAGCTGACACGTGCACACATCTACCCACAGGTAACGTCACGTGCACGTGTGGCTGGTAACGTGCATTATTCATGCTCCAAGGTTTACACCTGAGCAGGCTCCCCAGCCCCTGGGTATGGACAAGGACAGATGTGGCTGCTGTCAAACTCGTGGACAAGTAGCCAGGAAAAGTGTAAAACATGCAAAACCCAAGGCATATTTTAATGACCTTAGTGAAGCTCACAGCTGGACATCAGGTGGACTGAGCCCATCAAGTGACCATCCAGAGGAGCTGTGGGTTTGTGTGCCACAGAGTGGATGACTGCCCAGCTGGAGCTGGACAGCAGCACTGGGCTTCCTAGAAAATGTGGATGCAGACACCTGATCTCCTGCCAAACCTTTTGCAAACTTGCAGACTGAAAACTTGCAAACAAAAGTATGCTGGTCCCTGCCTCTGCTTCCACCACGTGGGGGACGGACAGAACAAGCCCAAACATGATGTCATCTGCTTTCTGTGGGGTGGGGAAAGCTCGGCTGAGTCCCACACTTGGATTTGGGAGGACTGGCAGCCCTCTGGATTCTCAGTGGCTTCCAGGGTTTCTTTTCATCCTGAACCTAATGTGTGACTGGCAGCAGAGTTCACAAGGATTTTCAAATGAGCTTAGAGCAGCTAGCTCCTGAGAATTCGGATCCTTGGCAAATAGCCTACAATAGCTGATATTTTTCCATTTTATGGGGGAGAGTGCTTACCAGTTATGTGCATTTTTTTAACTGCCATAAACCAATATTTTATTTTAATGCTTATCCCTTTGCCTCCCCCTTGGAACCATATGCACTCTTTGGAAGGACATTTGTCCCTGTCTGAAAGACTCATGGCCTTTTCATGTGGGTGTCCCTTCTGTCACTCCCATGTGTGAAGTCTGGCTCCTGGGTAACCTGAATGGGCTGCACAAGTGGAGCTGCCACAGGCTGGCAAAATGGAAGGGTGGAACCTCTAAAATGTGGGTTAATGACAGTGAAAATTCATAATTGATGGACCTGACATACCAAATAAAGAAAAAATAAAAGCCAGAAGTGAGAGGAGGAAGAGGAGGCCAAAGGCAGGTCCCTTTCAGACACGTTGTCATTTTCTGTCTTGACCAGCTGGCTGCACCTACTGCCCATCTGAGTCCACACTCAGTCTGAGTAAATCCTGCTTCTTTTGTCTTCTGCAAACATTGGGGCTAATATCTGCCATGTTCCACCCTCATTCATTGAAGAATGTTCTGAAAATGAACTGCTGAAGACCAAAGGCTTTAGAAATACCATAACCAAAAAGTTATCTTGAGTAAATCCATTGCCATGAATAGAGATACTGCAGGGGTTATGCCCCCTCAAACCTCTCTTAATCAGTACCATTTCACTCTAATTTCTGTAATAGTTTGGAAGTAATGCTGGGAACTGCTCTAAATGCTTTTTTTGCCTTTTTTTAAACAGAGATTCAGCAACATGAAAACACTTTGAGAATTTGCTTCGTTTCTGCAAATTGTTCCTGCTGAGGCAAACAAACATTCAGAAAAAGCACCCTTCAGAACAGAATGTTTTGATTTTCCAATGAGAACAAATATCTTAACACTTGCCACCATCCTTAATGCCAGTTAAAAAAAATTAATGAAATTTCACAAACTTGAATGCAAACATAACATTCTGTCCCAAACAAGCTATTCTGTTGGTCCCAGTGCTAACTGTAAATTTATTTGCTTTTCAGCCTGCTAAAATATGTAAATCTTTTGTTTTCTGAGTTGATCCATTAATATTGTTTTATGAACTTGTCAGAGGCACTAACCAAGAAATAACAAGCAAACAAACAATGATCTTGTCTGGCCTTGCATGGAAAGCTGGAAAGAGCACGGATGAGTGAACTGAGTGGAAGCATTGACTTCCACCACTCCAAACCCAGTGCGCAAGTGGGATGGGAACATGGGACCTGCTGGTGCAAAGAACAGCTTCAGCCACAGGCTGACTTAACAATGCTGCTGCAGCTTCCAGAATGCTCCAGATGTGACAGGGATCAGAATTCACCCCGTTATTTCAATATATCGATTCTCAGTTTGTGAAAGTTGCTCTGAATCTGCTGTGCTGTTTCATCTCAGCAACAAGCAGGATTGTGTCAATACAGCAACACATCTGCTATAATCATGGGAGCTACCTAAAATAACCCTGGGGCAGTCATCTCTCTTCCAAAATCTGGGCTGAAAATTCAGCAGCATTCACTTGATTGGGGAAATGTGGCTTTTCCTTGGGTTTCCCTGTGTGCCAGGAGCCAATGTGAAAGCCAAGACCTCACCCTGATTCTGACACACAGGTTGCTTTGTTAAACAATATCAAAGTTTCACTTCACTGCTTCTCCTTCCGGAAGCAATGAACCAACTGTTCCAAGAGGAAAAGTTGTACAAACTTGTACCAACACACAACTTGCAGTGCAATTTGCAAAGTTTTCCTTCAAACCAAGGATTTCCCCTCTGACTTCACCAGGGGTCCCTTCATGTCCCTCCCCTGCACCACATCCTTGGCAATTCCAAGGAATTCCTCACGATCAGAAGAAATTTTCAACATGGTTAATTGGTGGCTCACAAGACTGGTTTTATTCTGTTTTGTTTTAGGTTTTTGTGGAGTTTTTTTTTTCTTTTGTTTCGGTTTTTTTAAAATTTCTACATATTTTTTGACATCTCACATTCCCAAACTGCTCTGTTGA